TCATGAGATGGTAACAAAATTTACTGGTTACAAGAGTGTGGAGAATACGAAAAGGGTTTAAAAGTTGACAGTAACTTTACTAACCGGTAACAAAATTTTTGTTACCAACGCAGAATAGGCCTGTTAGGCAGAGAAAGAGAAAAAACCTTATAACCTGATGACATCAACACGGCAAAAGCAGGTGTAGAATAAGAAATGTTTCATATAACTGACTTCCCTTACAGATTTCAGGCATTAAATTATAAAGATCATATAACATAAGCTCTATATAAGGCGCAAATTTTTTGGGGGGTTGCTAGTGCACGCATACTAAGACAAAAGTTACGCTGGTATATAATTAAAAAATATATATAAATAAACAAAGTTTTTATTGGGAGCGGGAGTGGGGCAAGGCGAGCTCGGACCGAAATAGAATACCGGAGCGGAGCTAGAGCAAAGAGCTAAGAAAATTCATTTGCTCCTTTGGTCCTCCTGAAAGAAATTTAAATTTACTTATTTTTTTTTATTCATGCCACTGAAAACAACCGTGTTAAATAAATTTTCATTCTATTTTCATTTGGCAATTCTGATCATTGCACAATGCCCAGCAGTCAGGCATAATTGACAGGTCAATTTGAACGGCGATGAAAAAAACCAACGACTTTCCAACCTGCCGAGAAACGTAATATACACATCTCGGTATCCGGAAACGAGCGGAAAACTACCAAAATTTTAACTCCCTTTTTGAACGCGTTGTATCGCACCGGTAGTATCTAATCTGTTTAAGACACCCTTTATACATCAATATAAAACCTCCGAAATGACAGGGTTGCAACTCTGCAGAAAAAAACAAAAATTCTTGAAATGAACACAGGAAATCCTTGTGACATTGTTTCGAAAATGTCAAAAAGCCGCGCATTATGAATAGAACAGTATCTGAGATCATGCCAGTAGAATAGTTGTAAAACGAATTTCAAACAATATGTCACGTTTTACCTTTTGCCGCGATAACGGGAAATAAAGGTTAAAATTCATCAATTTACTTACGACAAAATGAGCATAGGAAACTCTGTTTCTTTTTTTTCCTTGAACCATATGAATCTTCTTCGATGTTTGCTTTAGGTGATTTTATGTGCTCTTGATCATCTTTAATGTAAGTCGATTTCGTGGGAATTGGTAAACTACTCGCGTCTTCCATGGGAGGGTCCAAATATTCTTTTGGCTGAATGTCATCGTCCTGTTTATCTGGAGCGTTTTTCATAGCCGTGATTTTCTTAATGTTTGACACGTTCCTTTTTTTATGTTTCAGTTTAATGTGTTTATTATAGGAGCCCAGGTTTCTGTAGCTTTTGTTGCAAGCTTTGCATTCAATTGGTTTTTCTCTCTCCATTTCAAGAGCTTCGACCACAAACGGCATAGGTGGTAAATTACCAGCTGAACAATTATGTAACCGTTTCGCATGAGTATAATAAGTCCGTACTCTATTAAAGTTCTTTGAGCAGAAAGGACATTGAAATACATGCGTTTTTACGTGATCCTCTAATTCAAACTCAGAAGAGTACATGTCTTTACAATATTTACATTTATAAGGAGTTCGAACTCCTAATGCATTATCACGTTTTTTACGTAAGCGTGGGAAATATTTAAAATAACGACAGCTATGACTATTTTGAAAATGTTTAAGAAGTTCGGTTCGAGGCATGGATGGTTTTTCTGTGCAGAAATCGCATTGCACTGGGGAGTCGGTATCATGGACAAGTTTTTTGTGTATCCTCAAATCATTAGGCATATCAAACACCTTTGAACAATTTATACATATTATTTCAGCTGTAATAGAAACATACATATGGATGTAGTATGCATGATAAAAGAATTAGTAATGTAATTTGTAAAATTTTATCATGGTAGTACGTATGTATATGCACGATTGTAAAAACTCATATTATTCAGGTTAAAAACTTACATTTGTGTTCGTTGAAAATATGTTTTTTCAGTTCCTTCTTGATTACAAAAGTACTACTGCATATCTCGCAAGTGTATCCCACCTTTTCTATAGGCTCCGTTTCACTCTCTTGATCTGAATCGTCTCTTTCTGATTCGTTTTCAGTTATAGGTTGCCGATGATCGTCATCTGATGTCTCATACACTATATCGGATGTAGGTTCATCAATGTGTTCTGATTTAATTTTGTCCATCGGTTTTATGCACAATTCCTTCTCATCATGCGTTTCTTCCAAAAACGTCCCGGGCGTGTCTTCTTCCAAGGGAAAATCTAATTCGGGTTCATTTAAAGCTTTCAGAGCTTCATCAAAATCCATATCCAAAGGATCATCACTAGCCTCCTGCGCTACCTACACATATATATATAGTAAAGGTGATTTTTTCTTTGAATCTTTTAGGAATTTACCTCAAATGTATGCATTTCCTCAGCGTAATTATGAACTGATTCGTCCGTCTCCATCGTTATTAAATTTAGAACTTTTTTGAAATATTCATGCGATTGGCGAGCACATTTTCTGAAGTTAAAGGCTATTTGAAGTTCCTGTGCACACTTTCTGCAAAGTGTTTTGGGTAAACCATCATTGGGGAATGCTTCTAACTGAGTGCATTCATTAAAGCAATCATATAAATTTTTGCTATCCTCTGTACACGCGATGCCCATGTCGAGTAGTACATTGCAATAAGTCTGCATACAAGCACGACATTGCATTTTCATTGGTGTTAACTTTAAATAAGAATAAATAAACTTGTGCCTTCAAAATGGAATTGTTTGTAGATTAATGATATCGGTAAAATACCGACACATGTCAGTCCGGCGCTAGCGATCGGATCAATCGCTTCGAATTCGATTTATCGATAACATTGACAATCAGAGATATGTTTCTTTTTTACTTTGAGTTACACCACCAAGAACCTTAATTCAATAACTTGCTGTCTCCACAGGCAAAAGTTGCAAAATTTTGCCAATGGAAACCGTATATTGCTCTTGGCAAGCAATAATCAGCCCTATTCTGCATTTCGACTCGAATCGAAATTTTCTCCGTTTGGCAACTTTGGTATTCTGCGTTCCGTTTCCTTTCGATCAATCTTCGAAATTTACGATTATACCTATTCTACATTTCGATCGTAGTTCCGTTTTCCTAACTGCCGTCCCTAAACTGGAGCGCTAAGCGTTGCGTTATCCATTGTCGACGAGTGTCAGCGCGCGCTATCCCCAAATCAACGCGTCGTAATTTTTGACGTTTTCTCAGATCCTCTCGTTTTTATTCTCGTTTCCTCTTTCACTTTTTTGTCCTTTCTTTCCGTCTTCCGCATCCAACTTCAACACGTAACGCCCTGTCAAAAATGAAAATTCCATTTGCTCGGCGTTAGCGCCGCGTTATTGTGGGATGCTTCATACAAATTGTATGGGCATGAGGATTTTTGACAGTTGTTTGGCGCTTGACGCGCCAATTTAGGGATGGCAGTAAGTTGCAAATTTGCTGACGGAGAACGTTTCGATTGTTATTTTCGTGGGTTTAAATAATAAAATTTTATTTAAAAAATTAAGTAAAATATCCTGTCCATGATTGCAAGCCATCATAAATGAATTTTCTCGATTTCTGTGTTTTCGCGAGCGGTAATACGGGCAATACGAAAAATTGGCTCAAATAATGGCAACCAAAAGGGATATTGCGCGAGGTTTTCAAAGAGGAATTCCAGGCGTTTTTGTTTTCATTATCTATAAATAAGACTGTGAAATGCACTGAATATAATTTATTCTTTTTGTATAAAATATATAGAAGTACATATGTACATACATACATACATAAAATGTGAAGTTACATAAAAAAGATGTTTTAATTATTGCACTCGATTTTACTATTTTTTTTAAAGAGGTGTGCATGTTGTCTCGAATTCGATTTGCTATGGAAGGATAAGCTTTGTTCTTCCCCTCCTCCTGACGGCTTTCAAAATGGAATTCATTTGCGTTCAAATCTTCCACTCTGTAGTAAATGCAAATGTTGTGGAGTGCTCAAACAACGTTTATAATTTAACTGGATTTGAGCGATGAGTAATACAGTTCAAGATGAATTTTTTATTACTCTTCACTCATCTGAGAAGGATCAAACAAGTCCCTAAATCTCCGCCTTTCAACTTCCGCATCAGCAATCTGGGACTCGTCCTCCTCTTCAAGCAATAACGCCGCGGCTATGGATTTCATTCTTATAATTATGTTTCCACTTAAATTAAGAGCAAACGAAGTTTTATTTTTAAATTACAGTGATGCTAGATATATTTAGTTATTTTAAAATATTTACAAACTCCAACTTCATAAGCTGCTATAGTTTGGTGGCCAATATTTCTTTGTTTTGTTTCGATTTCACACATTCCTAGGCAAACAGCTGATTTCGAAAGATGTTTTCTCTCTTCCTCTTTCGATTCGATCGTAACGCAATTACCTAAGGCCGATTCTTGCGGCGCGGAATGCGGGAACGTAATCGAAATGCAGAATAGGGCAGAATTATCAGATTTTATCTTGATAAATATTGTCAACAATTTGGTACTTTGACAGCTACATTTTCATATTCGCGGTAACTTCGTTGCGGCAACATTATTAATATTTTAATATAAAAGCAATGATTGAGCAGTTTTCTATTAAAATATTTGGTACTAACAAATGCTTGGCTTGCTTCGCGACGCCTGATAAGAACTTTTGCGTTGACCAATACAAAAATAGGTTTGAAATGCAAAAAGGGTTTGTAATGTAAACGCTATTGGCTTCGGTTGAAAGGTTAAATCCTGCTGTTCCACAGGAAGAGAGTTCTCCCGCTCAAACGAGGACATTTATGTCCCTATCGTGTTCTTTTTAGTTCGTCCCACTTCTTCTTGATATACCCATGGCCCGTTGGTGTGTCTAGGACATATGTGGCGCCTTAAAAATTTTGCGCTTCTTTGTATTCATTCTTAAAAGATGGGGTTTACTAAAGTTCTGAACACATTGAAAACGACGAGCTACGGACCACAGCTTCCAATTTGTCATCTTCATTATCTAAACGCTTTGTCGATGGCGACATGATTTCTTTGAAAGCGGCAGCAACATCATGAATTTGTATGAGTTTGACATAAAAGAAGAGGAAGAACCTTATCTGTCGCTAGTAAAATGGAAATAGATCTAATCACAGCGGTTGCGTAGCCCGGTCGTCGCCAAAATAATTATCTACATAAGAGTACGTGTTAAAATAATTTGACAGCTGTGGTTTGTAGCGCGTCGTTTTCATTTAGTCTGTTCCTTTGAACTTCGGACTAAAACCTGTGGAACTGTCAAACTACAATTTTACGCTCTCAAATGAGAGTAAAAGGAGAACAGATGTAGAAGTGCATAGGAACGCAAAAAGCACTATTTCCTGTAAAAACGTCAGTCGGTTTGTTTACATGTCATTTGTACAACACTGATTTAGCTGAAATATCACTAAATAATTATTAAAATCTATACATATTCAAACATTTCGTTGTTTACTTCCATTTTTTAACAAATATAAGGAGAAGAGAAAACCAGCCAGAAAATGTTATTGAACACAAAACTAGTAAAAACTTGCAAGTGAATAGTTGTTGCACCCTTTTGATATTCTGCCGTAGACATTTTACTATTTATAAATCAGTTTTAAACCCTTTGCTTAACACACAAGCACTCACATAGTCCAGTCCATCATTAATATTTTGATTTCCACCCATTTTACTTTTGTTTGTACTAAACCAATTTAACAAATGGCGGCTTTTGACATTTATTCTTCTTCTTCTGCTAGTAAAAATTTCACTAGCAAGAATTTGCAGCTCTCCCGTGTTATTACGCTCTCGATTCAGTGCTCTCTTGCAAATTTTTTGGGTTATCATACACTTTTCCAGTAAAAATTTGCAGGTTCCAGTACAAATTAGTACCTACAGACAGAATTTTGAATTTTTCTAAATATTGTATATAGTTTGAATCCTTGATTTTTATATGGAGTTGGTTAAAACGCAAAAAAAAATAACAAATATTTTTTACTTGAAAAACATTGGCCCGTAGTCATAGTCAAAATAAAGTCGACTTTAAAGTTAGTTGCAGCTTTTTGACATAATTTTCAATGGGATATCTGTCAAAAAAGCTGCAACTAACTTTAAAGTCGACTTTATTTTGACTATGACTACGGGCCATTGTGCATATTAACATAAAAATCACTAAGCGCCTTTAAAAGTCACTGTATTTGCCTATAATAACTCGAGATGAAGTTTTTTCAAATGATGAAGTTTCATTCTGCCTTTAGTTTCATCACTTTCACTTTTGGTTGAATACCGTTTAATTAGTTAAATAAAAAATTCCTTAAAAACAATTTTAATTCTTATTGAAATAACTAAACAAATAACATAACTACAGTTTTTATTAAAATAATTATAAAAAAGTTATTGGTAGATATTTTCCAGATTTGGGAATTTTTTTCAAGCGGATGGTAAGTATTTTTTGTCGTCAGTGGCAACCCTGGGCATAACCACGGTCTAATCGACCCATAATACTCTGGTAATGCGTTAGTCCTCTTTCAGACACGTCAAGTCTTGAAAGCAATTTTTTTCGCATTCTCTTTTGTTTTCTTTTTGCTTCCACACGCGTCAACTTTAATTGAACTCCAGTCCTTGGTCTTTAAATAGGAAGCAACGAAAAGATCAAAAGAGACAAGAAAACTTGAAACGAATTGATGGTACGGAGGTACCTGTAGTCTTCCCCTTTCCTCGCACCTCCTTCGCCAGCTACAACAACAACAACAACAACAACTTGAAAGCAAGACTTGACGTGTCTGAAAAGGGACTTACAAATGTAGAGAATAAGGGTGGGTAACTCAGCAAATTTATAGGAGTTGACTCAATGACTCCAACTCACTTTAAGGAGTCAGTTTATTCAACTAACTCATTTGACTCTTTGTATGTTACACTCATTCGTATCGTTGACTCGTTTTGAGGCATAAATGCGGTATAGCGGCCGTTGATCAGCCCCTTTCTACTGATTTGAAAGGTGTAAATTTTTTTTTGTGCACATTAATAGGGGCGGTGCTAGGGGAAGGGTAAAGGTGGAATTTTCAATATTTTCAAAAGCTTATCTTTCTTACATACATATATATTTCGAGAAAAACTAAAAAAAAATCGAAATTATAAGAATTTTTGAGATTTGGCATAACACCCGCAATACAAAATACATATGGTTGTTGGTGTTGTATTCTTGCCACCAGCTTGTATAAATTCGCCTCGTGCAAAAACAAATTGCAAGACTTTGCCATGCTATACACTGTGGCGAAGTGAGAGTTATATGATTCAATTGGGTAGTAGTGCACTTTGGCGAAGGTAGGTCAAAATGGACGGAAAAAGTTCGAGAACGGTATCAATCGACGCGTCTTAACGCCAATAAAAACAATGTTTTTTGAAAATAACTCTTTAATGAATTAAAAATGTGAATTTCCGGTCTCGGATTATTGTTGTGGGCATTAAAACTCGTCGATTGATACCCCTCTTGAATTTTTTTATCAATTTTGGCCTCCTTTCGCTAAAGTGCACTTTTACCTTCAATTGAATCATGTGAGCCCTAGGGCATCAACTGAGTTACTGAGATAAATTTTTTTTGGACAGGGCGTCTGAGTTACCGATTCACTTATAGGAATCAACTCAATAACTTAACTCTGAGTTGAGTTACCCACCTCTTGTACAGAAATTGCTTGCTAGCGCTTAACTTTCAGTAGAACAGTCGGGGTCTCTGGGTGGAAACATTGCATTTATCATTTCTAATTCTTCAGCTAGCTTTACGCGAGGAGAGCGACCAGTATTCGCTTTGAACATTGCAAATAATTCAGCCTCCGTCATAACTTTGTCATGTTTGCGCAGCATATGACACGTAAAACTGTATAAAGGAAAACGTCAAAATCAAATAATTTAACAATACAATTTTTTAGCAGACTTACTTTTCACGCCGTGCACTACCGTAATCGCAAATTAAACAGGAATATGGCATTCCACCGGTATGCTTATATGAATGGTCTTGTAGTGTTTTGCTGTTCTTGAACTCTCTACCACACACCGTACATATAAAATTGATGTTAGCATGCTTTCGCAAATGATTTGTAAGATGGGCTTTAATTCGAAATCGTTTGTCACATAAGTGGCAGGTGAAAGGCGTTTCCCCCGTGTGAAATCGCATGTGTATTACAAGCTCACTTTTCTTAGGGAAACTTTTATCGCATATTGTACATGGGCAATCCCGTTCCTTAGAATGCAATTGTCTGTGTCGATAAAGACCATCCTTGGTTTTAAAAGAATCACGGCAAATATCACAATGAAATTTACGCTTAGCAATGTGTACGAGATCAATATGCTTTCTTATATATTCCATTGAAAACCTTTTCTGACAAAATGGGCACTCCTTCATATCGGGCTCAGTATTTAAATGTTTTCCTTCATGCGATTCTAGAGCAGCTTTAGTAGATAGCACTCGTGCTGAAAAAATATTAAAAATATATCACTTAATGCATTCTCAAGATATGTTAAGCGTCGAAATGTCTTACCAAATTTTCCCCTTAAAATAACGGTTAATACCTTTTCAGGTGATTTGTCCCCAAAATGTTTTTAGCTGACTTCAAAAAAGAAGGAAGATTCCCAAGACAGCCGGTTCTACGTACCGCAATGACTCAAGTATTACCCGAACAAGGTCGGCAAAATCCCTAAAACCTTGTTCGCATATGGGGCTACATGTGCTCCGTATTCTTCTGCTCAGGGCTGGCTTAGAGTCGAACCCAGGGCCGGAAAGCTACATCTGCGGTGTATGCCAGAGACGATTGCATTCTAACTCCACCTCGGTCAGGTACAATACAACTGCAACGGGTGGAGCCACCGGACCGTCTCCACGGCACACCGGAGTTCGCCCAAGCAAAACAACACCAAAACAACTACACCCGTCAAGGAGCATAACACAAGGCTCTGCAGCAGTTCCTAGTAGGTCAAGGCACGTAAGGAGGCATCTATACGAACTCACGAACGAAGTCCAAAGGTTCATAAAACTACCCCTGGACCCAACTGCATACCGATAGGCCCTAAACGGGGTCTCGAGCTACAAACACTCGATGTGGACGAGACAGAGCCTTGTCTGCTTCGGGAGATTCGCACCACAAAAGCCCTACTTCGCTCTGGCTACTGCAGCAGGCTAAACTCGTACCTGTGTAGAGTGAACGCGGATATGCCCGGCATGCGGAGAGTCGCCACATGACTCATGGCACCTCTTCGCATGCCATCAAAACCCATCCAGCTAATAGCGCTACTTTTCTTATACGTTCTAATATATTGTACATATGAACAAAAAAGTAGCATATACATATCGTTACCTTAATTCACAAAGGCCATACATAACCAACAAAATTTTGATTTTACAGAAGCAAAAACCATTATAAAATGGGAATCAAAAACCGGCATTGCTTTTTAAAAAGTGGCACGTTACTCTGTTGTTGTGGGTAATAACATATTTTTTAATGAACGTGGATTTTAATACAGCCTACCAAAATCTGTGAAAAACGCAGTTTCGAAAAAGGGTTTGGTTAGGGCCTTTGTGAACGATATGCAAATACATGCCGTGTAAGAGAGCTGTAAGGCCCCTCCTGCCCCTATGGACAGACCCGGTGGAAGTTGCCAACTTCCTGGGCCCTCCTATAGCTGAACCTGACGATAAAGCTGATGGACAAGCCGAGAAATTTTATACCCTTTAAGACAATACGACGCCTAACACGACTTATGAATCCCCTCACTATATTTGTTGAATTTAAAAGTAAGTTCTTAAAATCTTAAGTATAAAAGATTTTCTTTTTCCTACTTACGACAAAATGAACATAGATAGCTCTTTTTCTCCTTTTGACCATCTGAATTTTTATGCGCTTTTCTTCTAGACGGTTTTCTACGCTCTTGATCATCTTTTATGACATCCGACTCCATGGGAATAAGTTCAATAACGGTGCCTTCCATTTCAGTTTCAGTGAATTCGTTGCCTTCTATGTTTGTAGGGTTATCCGAAAAGTCGATTTGGTGAATATTGTCGAACTGTTTAACAGGATTATCACTTATAGCATTTGATTCCGTTACTTGATGTTTTTGTTTCATATGTGTATTATAAGAGCCCAGTCTCGTGTAGCTTTTGTTGCAATCTTTGCATTCGAAAATTTGTTCTTCGATTTCAGTTCCTTCAACAATGAGTGGCGGAACTTTATTTGCTCTGCTGTTATGTAATCGTTTGATATGGGCATAATAAGCTTTTATTCTACCGAAATTTCTCGAGCAGATTGGACATTGAAATACATGAGATTTTATATGATCTTCCAAATCGAACTCAGATGGAAATGTTCTTCCACAATATTTGCATTCATTAGGAATAGGATCCCCTAACCAATTAGTACGTTTTTTACGTAAACGTGGAAAATATTTAAAATATCGACAACTATGGTAGTTTTGAAAATGTTTAAGAAGTTCCGTTCGAGGCATAACAGGTTTTTCTGGGCAGAAATCGCATTGTATTGGTGATTCGGTGTCATGAATAAGCTTTTTGTGTATCCTCAAATCATTAGGCATTTCAAACACCTTTGAGCAGTTTATGCAAATTATATCAGCTATGATAGAAATCAAATATACATATGTGCATATAAATTTTAAACAAAAACTTACATTTGTGTCGATTAGAAATATGCTTTTTTAATTCCTTTTTAGTTGCATAAGAACGGCTGCAATTCTCGCAAGTGTATCTTACTTTATCTGTGTGTTCAGTTATGCATTCCTCTTCTAATTCATCTGTTTCTGATTCATTTGCTTTTATATTTTGTATATTATCGTCATATGATGAATCGGGTATTAATTCGGTAAAATGGTCAACCTCCTCTTCTGATCTGTCTATTTCCATAGATTTTTCATTATTATGTTCTACATCTTGTGACTCTTCCAAAACATCTGTCGATTCTAGTTGTGATTCCTCCAAAACATCCGTCGATTCTAGTAGTGATTCCTCCAAAACATCCGTCGATTCTAGTAGTGATTCCTCCAAAACATCCGTCGATTTTTGGTTTTTTTCTATTGAATGTTGGGATTCCCCAAAACCCTCCGTCGATGTTGTTGTTGTAACACCATACAAATTAGACAGCTGAACCTCTGTCGAGTTTTCATTTTCATGTTTTACATCTTGTGATTCCTCTAAGACCTGGTCGGTCGACTCGTCCTTTACGAAAAGATCTAATTCTGTTCCATGTAAGGCCCTTACAGCTTCTTCAAAATCCATATCCAAAGGATCACCAGTATTTTCCCCTTCTTTCTGTTCAATAGAAGTATAATTTGGCAATAGATAAGTATGTATATATATGTATGTACGTTTATGCAGCATACATATTTACCTCATATGCCAAAGATTCCTCTGTTAAACTATGTACCGATTCCGTCTCCATTTTTAGGGATGCTAAAAGTTTCATGAAATCTTCATGCGACTGGCGAGCACTTTTTCTGAAGTTAAAGCCTATCTGAAGTTTTTGTGCACACATTTTGCAAAGTGTTTTGGGTAAACCATCATTGGCACGTGCTTCTAACTGGGTGCATTCATTGAAGCAATCGTACAGATTTTTGCCATCCTCTGTACACGCGATGCCCATGTCGAGGAGGACTTGGCAATTAGTCTGCATACAAGCACGACACTGCATTTTTGTAGTTCACTTTTAATAAGGAGAATGAAACTTTTTTTTTGTAGCTTTAAGAACTAATTAATAGTCAAAAAAAATAAGTAAATATTATAAATTAATTCATATCGCCAAAATTGGCCAAAATATTTTATTCTTACATGCTAGAGATGGGTAATTTCAATATTCGAAGCTTCGATACTCGAATTGTAACTTGCTGTCTAGGGATGGGTAAATTCGATTTTCGAAGCTTCGATATTCGAATTTGAATCGAATTTTAGCTCCAGAATAGCGAATTTTTGAAATCGAACTTGTGTTGCTAAAATTCGGACAAAATCGAATTTTTCCAGAAAAAATCGAATTTCATCTTTATTTCCAAAAAATCGACTCTTCAAATTTTTTCTTTCTGACTAAATTTGCCATCACTGTGTGGCACTCTATTTGTCTTATGGATTAAAAAAAAAAATACATGGTTTTCGATCTGATGCATAAAAACAAAAAATCTGTGCCAAGAGGGAACTGTTATTCCAAACTCAATTAAAATTTTTTTTTATTAAAAAAAAAACTAGTTTCTTTGTTGTTTTTTTTATTTGAAATTTTTAGAGGCTTTTACTTTAGTAACATTAAGCTTTTGCCTGAGAAGACCCCTAGTAAAATTTTCTGGAGGATAATTCATCAATCCATAAACGATCTGCCAAATTTGCTTTTTGTGAGATTTCTTGAAGTAAGGGTCAAATATGACCGTTTTAGGCGGGGGATAATGGGTTAAAATGTTCTGCGAAAAAATTTCCCAAGAAATTTTTTTTATATATGTCTTAACCTTTAATTTCGCTCAGACATTTATTTTAACTATTTTTTCGACTTTTTGAAAACTACTTATACCATGTTCTGACCGACATCGAAAACATGTTTTCGTTGCTAAAGCTCGGAACACTTTGACGACTGCAACTTCACGACGTAACGACAGCGACATCATTTTGTCGACAAATGTCGCCTTGAAGCCAGCTTCTTAAACATTTTGAAGACCTCAGCGACATAGCAAACAGCTGATTTTAAAGTTTGACATTTTGGTATATTTATTTCACAAATTGTTTATTTTTATTTAAATAAATAAGAAAAACATGAACAATCAAGAATATGTGATTAATTTTGCGACAATTTAATTTTGCAGCACTACATCTACTCATTGTCGCCGGCAAAATTAGAAATAGATTTAATTTGGCGACGTCGACAATTGCAGTCCTGCAGCCAAGATGTCGTGCTGTCGTCAAAATAATTGTGTCCGTAAGAACGTGTGTATTTAAAATTTGACAGATGCTGCTTGTCGCTTGCTGTCGTCAAAGTGTTCCGAGCTTAAAAATGGTTTTCGACCTAAAACTTGTGTTTTCGTCAATGTAAAATCTGTCAAACGAAAACAAGTTTTCGCTGAAACCACTTGAAAACTCACGTTCCACTCATTCCAATCGGTGCCGTCACTAGTTTTTTTTCGATTATTTATCGAAGTGGAAGTCATATTTTATCATCTTTAATACGCCATTTCGGATTTATTGTTAATTGGCTGACGAAAATAAAATAAGCATGGAAGTAAAAGATTGTTAATGAAAAGAAATTGAAGGAAAAGTATTTTGGTTTTGTATTCGTGCAGCAAAACTGTAAACAAAAGATGTAAGAAATGTCAACGAAAACACCAACAGTCGGTGTGAACGGCCTTCAGCCCACAACCCCAAAACTTGTTTTCAAGGTGTTTTCGTTGTCGGTCAGAACATTGTATTAGGCCGAGATATGAAATCTTTAGTAGGCCATAAAATAAAAATACAAGCTAAATTTTGCAAATCCATCGCGTTTTACTACTGGATGGGTAGACATTCAGAAAATGTTAACAAAGTACGGGCTGGTTTCGTTACATCAACAGGCCATTCACTATTCCTTAAAAGCATGGTACAATAAAAACAGGTAGAAGCCAAATTGACATCAAACCTACAAAAGTCAAAGTTTTCGGGAGAGTAAAAATAAAAATGAGCGTGTGTAAGGAAAAATAAAAAAATTACATTTCGCTGGTGGACGTTTTTAAGTAAATTTCAAGTTTTGTATTTATTTATTTATTTTGTTTAGTTAAAATTTGTTAATTTGTATGTTCTTTTCTATTTTTTTATACATTGAAAGTTTATATTTATAGTACCTGTTTTAGTTTTGTATAATATACAAATGTTTGTATAAAGCGATATATGCACTAGGCATAACGTTGGGCAATCAATAAAACAACGGAACACAAATAATGATTGCGACATAAGGGTCATAGGAAGAGCACTTGGCATCAAACGTGCCTTTCCTGTACCTCCTGGTGCATTTATGAAATCTGCTGCTTTAAAATGCTTAACGCACAGCAAGGCATTCCGCTGCAGCTCTACCCCACAGCTGCTTTCCCAACGCTCCTTACGCCGAGGGTATTGAGGCACGTTAAAAAAATTAGTGATGTCTGCATTATATTTAACACCACATAAAAAACAACGCTTCAGGTCCTGCATTTTTAACACATACACTAAGTATAAACCGCACAACACTACAAAAATGCAAATGTTAATTAAAATTTGTGTTTAACGAACATTCAAAAAAAACAAACGACATGACATTTTAAGCGTAACGAAATATAGGAAATAAAATAAAATCAAGTTGAAGTTTAAAGGTTTGGTTCTCATGAGAGCAACGTCATTTTGGCTTGTACCTGTATTTATGTGCCTTGCCTTAAAAGCACCAAGTAAATTCAGGCAACATGTAAACACAAAACAGCTGTTATGCACTTTGACACTTTATCAATTTTTACCCGGAGAAAAAGTCCGGGCTGTTTCGGGCAGGAAGAAGACACTTATGCCTGGATTATAAGGGAAGTAACGGAACGGAGTGAACTGTCACTTAATTATCTATTGTATGGGCAATGAATTCAAACGATTTTAATGGACTTGAACGCAATGTAAAACGGAAACATCCAAAATCAATAGATCCTTACGAATTCGCCGCGATTTGTTACGATCCGCCCCTTGCATTATAACCAAGGTATTAAGCTGCCACTACATGAGGCGATTTTTTTACAGGCGATAATCGGAAAATCGCCTCACGAAAAGGCAGCTAGCTCTCTATTAAGCTGTCTACATGAGGCCATTTTCTAGGCGATTCAACATTGCTATGGAAAAATCGCTCGTGTAAATGGTTATTCAAAAATCGCTTGCCCCAAAGTAGACAGCAAGTCAACTTTTGCAGGCGATTATCGCTTTTCCCATTTTGTTGAGTACGGGAATGATTTCTGGGCTATTTTGGGCACTCGCGGGATCCGCGTTGCGTACGGGAAAGAGCCTAATGGGCCTCCGCACACTGGACTGCTCAGTCCGCCTAAAACCGGTTTTGTGTGGATAAGAGGGGGAAGAGAGTTCGAGTTTACCTCGCTCATTTCAGTCCGCGAAAATCGCGGATTGACGGTGGACTGACACGCACATATAGACAACTACTCATATAGACAACTACTCAGCAGTGAGTTAAATTATCTGAGTAATAGCAAATATCTCCGAGCTCGATTGGTAAAAGTCAAGGCGAATTTATACATATGTATATATAAATACGCCTTGGTAAAAGCAAAGCTCTTTTATTTGACACCTCATTTTTGAAAATCGAACGAACGATATTGGAACGCTAGATGTGATGACATGAATCGTGGCGTTAAATATTTAAGTTTCATATATTTATTAAGAAGACGTATGTAAATCATTTCCGTCTTGAAATAAAGGTTCCGACAGACAAAAATATATAAAAATCCTATATGATTATTATGAGAGGACGTAAATCATTTTCGTCTTGAACTAAACGTCCCGAGACGAAAAAATTTAAAAATAATTATTTTAAGAAAAAAATTATATAAAAATAATTATGATACGATATAATTATTATAAGACGATAATAATTTATATCTTAAAATAATCGTCCGCGTGACAAAAGCCAATTTTCTATTGTTCAGTAATAATTATAGAGCAATATTTAACTTTGTTTCTTATAATCGTTATGGTCTCTGTTTAAAACAAATTTCTGTTGCCTCGTCGTCACTGAAGATTCAGTACGCTAATAAGATGCCGTAAATGGTGCTGAAAGCGGACAGAGAAGTGTCACATGCTTATGAGTCCGTTCGTAGCGTTCTGAAGTCAGAAAATTTATCCTAAACGACATTAAAGGGCTGATGGCCTTAATAGGTTATGATCAAGCCTTTTGTACTGCTATTCCAGTTTCTATAGGTAATACCAATAATGGGTGTTTACTATTAAGTTCGGATTATTAAATTTATAAACACGAAACATCGATCACATCCGTATATTATGCATTTTAAATTAGTTTTTATTCTATAATTCTGAAAAATATTTTAATTCTCTATCTTTTTATGTCTCAACTATAGCAAAAAGTTGAGTAATAACGAAGATATTGGTCAAAATAAAAAACTCACGCTCACGCGCGCATTGAACTTATATCAGGCTTAAGTAGCAATGACATGCTAAAACAGTACGTTTGTGTTGAAATGACATAGCAATGCAAAAAATTTTTGAAAACGACAATTCTACAGAAAATGTTGAATTTTGCAGTACTTTAATTGTAATGCCAAATATGCACAACATTTTATTTGATATTTTGCGGAAGTTACCTTTTTCTAGGGTGGTTTAGAAATAAAGGAGACTGATGCTTTCTTGTTTTAGATTTACGAACTGGATCTTTATACATATATTTAGATTATAAATTCTCGCAGTCAATTGATTCCATTACGTCTGTCGGTTGCAAAAGTTCATTTACCACTTCTAATTCTTCAGCTAGTTTTACGCGCGGAGAACGACCAGTATTCGCTTTGAACATTGCAAATAACTCAGGCTCCGTCATAGTTATGCTGTGTTTGTGTACCATATGTTTTACAAAACTGTATAAAAGAAAAAGATAAAATTCAAATACATAAAAGTCAAGTTTTTTCGAGTAGACTTACTCTTCACGCTTTGGATTACCGTAATCGCATATTAAACATGAATAGGGCATTCTCCCCCCATGTTGGTATGAATGGTTTCTTAAAGACTTGCTGTTCTTGAACTCTTTACCACATATCTCACATTTTTTCATGATATTAGTATGCTTTTGCAAATGGTAGGTGAGGTGAACTCTAATTCGAAATCGTTGATCACACAAATGACAGGTAAATGGCATTTCTCCCGTGTGACCTCGCATATGTACTTTGAGCTCAGAATTAAAGGCAAAACTTTTATTACATACTGTACAGGGGAATTGTCGTTCCTTCGAATGCAATTTTCTGTGGCCGCAAAGAGTGCCACGAGTTTTAAAAGAATCCCCACAAATATCACAATGAAATTTACGCTCCGCAATGTGTACAGTATCAATATGTCTCTTTATATAGCCCACATAGAATTTTTTTTGACAAAACGTGCATTCCTTCATATCCGGTTTTATGTTTAAATGAGTTTTTCTTTCGTGTGCTTCCGTACTAGATCTAGAGCAAAATACTCGAGCTAAAAAGTATGTTTTTAATATGAATATGAAGGTATTATTTTAAAATGTTTAGTATTCAAGTTTTTATTTTTTACTTACGACAAAATGCACATAAATATCTCGCCTTTTCTTTTATATTCGAACATTTTATTTTTTCAGGAGATTCTTGTTCCTCTTGATTATTTGCTGTATCTTGGTTTTTCTCAGAATCCATTTCATGTGATTCACCCTTGGGGTACTTCTTTTTACTTATCCTGGGCATTATGACTCCACTTTTCTTGTACTCGTTTCTTTGCTTTTTTATTTCTTGCTTTGCTTCTGTAACGGTTATGTTATGCTTACAATTAAGATGTTTTCTAAACGATGAAGAATTTCCATAGCTTTTTTTACAGATTGAGCATACTAATATAACGTGCATGTTTTGGACATGGTCTTCTAATTCAGAAGTAGAAGAATAGTTGCTTCTACAATATCGGCATTTATAGCAAGTAGGTGGAAAGTACTTATAGTATTGACTTTTGTGTTTGCTTAGCAAATGTTCAACTAGTGCATCTCTATGTATTAACGTAGTTTCTTTGCAGTAATCGCAAATCACTGGTGAGTCGGTGTTATGCACCAGCTTTTTGTGTGTTCTCAATTCGTGAGGCATATCAAAGGTCTTCGAGCAATCCACGCACATAACTTCAGCTGTGATGAAAGAAAATATTATTATAATTAAAAATATTGCTAAATACTTTACCCAAAGAAAATGAAAATTTTTTAAAATTTCTTAGGCCAATGCACCTCTAAAGGCGACCATGTGTATGTATACATATGTAGCCCGAGAAATGGTGCAGCATCCAGTTTTCTATTAACTTCGCTTTACCATTATATTTAACTTACATTGATGTTTTTCGGATATATGTTTCATTAATTCGTTTTCAATATCATATTTACATTGGCAAATCTCACAGAAATATCCCACACTTTCAATTTTTATTTGCATTGGCGGAATTGTTCTTGGATTTTCCACAACAAATTCTGTCGGACCCTCTTTTTCACTTTCTTCTGCCTCTCGGGCTTGCAAATTTTCATCAACCATATTTTCAACCAATAAATCATTTTCATTCAAAATCATATTAGTTTTTACAAAAGCGTTTAGCTTTCGTTTCCTTTCGATTTCTTCCTCATCAGGATAGTCAAAGTCCGGTTTCGCTAAAGCCTTTAAAGCATCTTTAAACTTCATATCTAGAGGATCGTTTATATTCTCCTCAGGCTCCTATTAGAATAAAATATTTCTTAGTACGGGATATAGATATGTAAAACTATGATACTTCACTGTAAAGGGATAAAATTCATTAGTAGAAATATGAATCGACTCTGCCTCCAATCTCTGTGATGATAAAAGCTTTTTAAACTCTAAATGCGACTGTAGAGCGCATTTTTTAAAGTTATAGGCAATTTGGAGTTTTTGCGCACACGTTTTACAAATTGTTTTGGGAAAATTATCTTTATCCGATGCCTGCAGTTGAGTACAATCAGTAAAATAGTCAAAAAGAGATTTGCCATCTTCTGTGCACACAACACTCATATCAAGTAGAATACGACATTCAGTTTTCATACAAGCCCGACACTGCATTTTATTGTTTTATCTTCCTGAATGAATATTGTTACAAATCGCCTTTTTTTACACAAATATCCACAAATTGTTTCCAAAAAGGCCGAAATAGATATGTCGGAGAAACATCGATAAATCGAAAATATCGATGTTATGCTTCGATGAATCGAAAATTTTCCTCTTTGTAGCAGGGATGATATATGCGTTTTTTAAATTTTGTACCAAACGGAATCAATTTCCGCATTTGGATTCTTAACACCTATCGACTATTTTTGGGTAAATTTTCGGTGGGCACGCTAAAGTGCACAATTACCAAAAAATATACCAAATTGGCCGAAAAAGTACCAACATATAACTTTTTAAATTAAGTATATTTTTTTATAGGTACGTTCGTTTAAAACCTCCAGTAAAAAATTTCCTGCAACAAAATTCCTGTGAAATAGTGAAATCTGTTCTCTCACAAGAGAAAAATATACAGTATAGTATGCGAACGGAAAGTTTGCAGAAACTTTCAAGCTATCCGAACAGCTGACGGCACCTGGCAAAGACCTTGTGAATGCAGAGCGGCTAAGGCCTTCTGGTCACGTGACCAGACTAAGCAAGTTACACTTACACTTCTCACTTCTGGTGGGAGTTCTAACTGGTCATTGCATCATAGATAAGCATGCAGTAAGGAATATCATCGATCACCATGAGTAGTTAAATAAATAGATAAATAAATAAAACCCTACGAATACAATTCTGAACGCATGAAAAGCGTTTTGTGAAGTTATACTCTAAGCTTCCAATACAAATGAATATGTCAAAGCAAGTAATAAAAGCATACAAGCATGTTTACTAAGTGCAAGTAACACAAATACTTTACAAAAATATTTTACAAAATATTTAGCTTTTTTCTACGGTTTTTATTATAACAGCTACTGTTTATTGGTTTTAGCAGGTCTTCGTTTTAAATAAACACAACGCATTTATATTTATGAAGTGAAAAGATGAGTATATTTTCAACCACAAACATTTAAATTTTCGAGTATTTTTACAAAATTGTATCAAAAATGTCGATGTAATACCAATGTACTATTGAGATTAAAAATGTTACAAAAAAGTTTAATTGTACCATCAATTTCATCACTGCTCTGTATAAATATTCAAAGCATCGATACATCGATGTTTTTTGAACACTGACATCTCTAGTACATCGGTTCCCAACCTTTGGGTCGCCGAAGGGTTTTATGGTGTTCGCATGAGCCGATTTTATAGGCAACTTTTATACTAGGTTCACATATAAGTAGATTATCCTCATTTTCGAGCTTAACACCCTAATCTGTAATTATAACAAGAGATTAGCCATATAAAATTCGTCCCTTGTTAATCTGTAATTATAAAATAATCTCAGATTAAACCGATAACTTTTCGTTGTCTATCCTAGTTTTATCGATTGTTTTTGCAAAAAAGAGGAGAAATGCCAAATGTAAAAGTAAACAAAAATGTACGCTAGCAAGGAGAGGTTTGTAAAGGTATTTTTAATAAAATGTTAAGTTAAAATATATTTATATTGCTTATTATAGCATACAAACGTGATCACGGTGGCACAGAGAAGAAACATAACTTTTCCTTGAGATGTGAGAATAACAAGCACAACAAATTTGACGGCTAATAATCTGAGATTTGCCTGTGTAAAAGGGGTGATTAAAAAACGAGCTTTGATTGTGATAATATTGATATGTGAACATAGTTTTAGTTGAAAACAACAATCGCCTGGTGTGAACGGCCTTTCAAATAATCGCTTCCAATCATGCTTCCAATGAAGTTGGGGTGCAGCCAACTTTTGATTCAACTAATCGCCTCATGCGCAGCGTTGCCGAATTTACGATTTCATCGTCATTTTGACAGTTTTTTTTAGCTCAATGACGTTTCGACGATTTCCCCCCCCCCTGTAATGACGACTTTTTATTTTAGTTTTTCCACCTAGTTACATACAGTCAGTCAATAAAGTTTAGGTACTGCGAATTTTTTACAATACGGGCAACTATTTTTTAAATATTTTATTTTTCGATAATTTTTTATAAAAATATGGTCAATTCTACAACAAAAAACTCAAAAATCAGGGTTCCGAACCTTGTGCAAAATTAAAGAAAATTCCGCAAAATTGCATTCAAATATTACACTTTTTATTTACGCTCTCTAGAAAGAAGTTGGGTATGCAGTTTTTAGCCCATGCAATTTTAGTATAACAAAGTGCAAGTTTGTGGTGGCTAGGACTTACCATTAATTTTTAGGATTTTTTTTTGTTGAAGGTGTCGCTCCTTTTCTCCATATAAAATAATGTTTGATAATTTTTTTATATGGAATATTTTTTTTTTATGTATGTTATCGCATAACGATAACTCTTTTTGCATCGGATAGGTAGTGTCTCAGAGGTGGTCCAATACTAATCTGGTTTATATATATATATTTTTTTATATGAGAATTGAAGTTAGTTTTTTTTTGCTAAAAATTACTTGTTTGCTTAAAAATTACTATTTGTTTTATTCATGTTGCCGCCTAGCTTTGGACCACGTTAACCGATTTTAATAATTCTTTTTTTTAAAGGAAAGGTGTTACCTCACAGGTGGTCCCATTCTATTTTGGTTTAAATCCGATCATTGGATCATGAAAAGATTAACGATAATCTTAAAATTTTATATGAGAATTGAAGTCGGTTTTGTTTTTTGCTTAAAAATTACTTGTTTTAATTTAAATTTATTGAGTCCTTTTCCATGATTTCTAATTCTTTCGCTAATTTTACGCGTGGAGATCGGCCTGTATTCGCTTTGAACATTGCAAATAACTCATCATCCGTCATAGTTATACCGTGTTTATGAAGCATATGTGTTACAAAACTGAAAGAAATAAAAAAAAATTTTATTTAGCAATGTTTACTAAATTTTCAAAGGACTTACTAATTACGTTTTGCGCTGCCGTAATCGCATATAAGGCACATATATGGCATTATACCTTTATGTCGGAACGAATGGATTCGTAAAGACTCGCTATTTATGAACTCTTTGCCACATACCTTACATGTCTGCTTGACGTTATCATGACGTTGTAAATGATAGGAGAGATGAACTCTAATTCTAAATCGGCGGTCACACAAATGACAGCTGAATGGCCTTTCGCCCGTATGAACTCGCATATGTACTTTGAGTTCTGTTTTATCAATAAAGTTCTTATCACATACATTACATGGGAAGTGGCATTCCTTCGCATGCAATCGCTTGTGTCGGTTAATAGTATCACGGCATTTATACGAGCCACCACAAGTATCACAAGTGTATTTACGCTTTCCCACATGTACGATGTCCATATGTGTACTTAAATACTTTGTGCTGAATTTTTTCTTGCATACTGGACATTCCTTAAGTTTAATTTCTTTATTCAAATGCTGTTTTCCCTCATGTATTTCCAAAGCGTGTGTAGACGTTAAAATACGGGCTGAGAAATAAATAGAATCAAATAAAATAAACATAATATGTGATATTATCATCGCCCGCATGATAAAAATATACATATATATATTTTTGTAATATTTGTATCATGCCTTTAAATATCTGTATCATGACCTCCCGTATTCCAGAAACATGAATGTGTAAAAATGAAAATTTTGTAAAATCAAGCTTGGAAGTTTTTTTACGAGACTTAACTACATTTATGCAAGTGAAATTGTAAGATTTGTTTTCCGTGTACGCATGATATTCTGAGTTTTGGTATACCATAGAACATCCAAAGGTTAATTAAGTCAACCCAATAACTCAAAAGTGATAAATTTGCACATTCATGCCTCTGGCATAAGGGTGACGGTATGTATTTGTTTGCTTGTATTTAAAATGTTTCCACCTACGGCAATATGAACATAAGTACATCTTTTTTTCTTTCGATTTATGATTTTCTCTAATTTCGTCGAGGTTAGGCATAGCCGGTTCTTGACCATCCCGGTCAGTTTTCTTTTGGCTTAATCCATCTTGATTAATTTCCTTTCTATGTGTTGTAGATTTAGATTTAACGTAACCTACTAAATATTCCATCGGTTGAATATCTTTACTTAGATTTTTGCCACCGTGTTTAACAGTGTTATGTTGTTGTTTGATATGTCTTTTATATGCGCTACGATTTCCATAGCTTCTGTGGCAAATTTTGCATTCAATCCGTTTATCTTTCTCATATCCAACTTCTTCGATAACAATTGGTGTAGATGGAAGGCAATTTACTGAACGGTTGTGTATTCGCATGGCATGACCAGAGTAAGTTCGCGCTGTTGTATAATACTTCGGGCAAAACTGGCACTTAAAGAGTACGTGTGTTCTCACATGGTCTTCCAATTCCACTGCGCATGTGACGACTTTTGTACAATATTTACATTTGTACCCTTTAAACATACGTGGAAAATACTTAAGATACTGAGGTTTGTGTCTCTTTTCAAAATGCTGAAGAAGGTGACTTCGAGGTATTAAAGTAGTTTCTTTGCAGTAATCGCAATGCACTGGTGAATCGGTCTCATGAATAAGTTTTTTATGCTTCCTCAACTCATTGGGCATATCGAAGGCCTTTGAACAATTCACGCATAATATTTCCGCTAAGTAAAAGACAAAAATTAATTTAATTATTAAAACAGCACTTCTTTTTAAAAACTCACAATTGTGCTCTTCAGATGTATGCTTTATTAGCTCGGCTTTCGTTGCGCAATTGCAATTACATATTTCGCAGTCGTATACCAATTTCCGTATAGGTACAATACAACTATCAGGATTCTCCATGCAATCTAGGGAATTTTTGCTTTCTGTTTTTGTAACCATTGTTGTTTGCAATACGTCATCTTCATTTAATACGGGTAACTCGGGGACATCAAAACTCTCTATTGATTTTTCGATTATGTTTTCATCCTGAGCTCCCTCAAAACATGTGTTCAAAGATTCCCCTGGGGAAATATCTTCCATAGATACATCCAAGTCTGAGTGTTTGACACTATTTCCGTCCTCATTTAATTCAATATCGATGCTGTTGTTGCAGCATACAAACTCCATATCTATAGGCTTATCTGCTACCTCCTATATATTCCCAAATTGTTTAATATATCTGCATATTACTTTTAAATTCTGAATACCATTTACTTACCTCTTCTGTCTTAATAAAAACCGAACAAGTCTCTTTCTTTGGCGACGCTAATAGCTTCTTAAAATTAGCGTCTGATTCGCGAGCGCATTTTTTAAAGTTATAGGCTATTAAGAGTTTTTGCGCACAAATTTTACAAAGAGTTTTGGGAAAGTTATCATTAATTGAGGCATGTAGCTGTGTGCATTCATTAAAGTAGTCGATGAGAGGTTTGTCCTCATTTGCGCAAGGAACGCTCATATCAAGCAAGATACTGCATTTCGTCTGCATGCAACCGCGACACTGCATTTTTTATGAGTTTCTCTTACAATGGTAAGTGGAACATAGATACTTTCAGGCAACAAAATTTTATATTTATTAACTCTCTGCTACTAAATAAACGCGTCTTCCACGAATTCTATTTGTTTTAGAGATGGGAGGATTTTATCAGTGATTTAAAAATCGCTTAGTCAAGATTCAGACACGGCAACTTTTGTTGCGGCAACTCAAAGTTTGGGGAAGAGGGTGACGGGAAAAGGGGAAAGGCAAAGAGTTGCTCGTGTTCGGGAAAACGCTTTGTGCTCACGTTCGTCTTAGTATTTCAAGCTGGCGGTTCGCAGCTGACAACATTGTGTACAAAAGAGTTATTCTGTGTGAATGCGACGAGCAATACGAAAAGGGAAGCTGCCGAAAACGAGCAACAAAAGTTTCCGTCTCTGAACTCAGCCCGCGCTTATGCTTGACATCCAAAACTGCTTTTACATAGTTCAAGTATTGAATTCAATTCTGCTCGCATGTGGAAGAAAGGGGGTGACATCGTTTCACCCTTCTTGCTTAGCTTGTGACATTTTCGTTCTTTCCCATTTAAAGAATAAAAAACTTGAACTCAGCAGAATTGAAGCAAGGCGTATTCAATAAGGTGGTATCGGTACGTACATGTATTTTGTTTTTGATTTTGCGGCGAGGACTGTCAAAAACTTCATACGAAGGATGTTTATATAAGGTGGTGTTACTGGCGAATTTAGATTTTCGCCGTGGTACTTCTTAATGTCAAAATAGTGTGTTTGTTGTAATATGAATTCGCCTTGTTTACAACAAACACATAATTTTGACATTAATAAGTACCGCGGCGAAAATCTAAATTCGCCAGTAACACCACCTTGTATAAATTAGCCTTGTTAATGTCAAAATAGTGTGTTTGTTGCAATATGAATCGCCTTTTTTTACAACAAACACATCGATTTGACATTAATAAGTACCGCGGCGAACATCTAAATTCGCCATCAACACCACATTGTATAAATTCACCTTGTCTGCAGACATGCATGAAGAAAATTAAAAATTTTCAATTTTTCTGTTCGTTGTTTGCGACAGGTATGAACCATGAACCAACTAACAAGATCACGCAATCGGAAAAGAATGAAAAAAGTAAATTTCTGAGCGTTGTTGACATCTGCCTCTTAGGCAGAAAACAACCAAAGAAAATAAAAAAGGCGCGGTGATTGGGTGCGATCAAATTGGTATTTATTATAAAATATACAAAGTGAAACTTGATGACAATTAGCAAAAAAAAGTTCATAAAATATGTTTTTTATGATTGAAAGTGTTTTACAATCGCATATCATCACCACCGGGACGATTTTTCAGTCGTTGGTTCATAGGTATGAACGTTTAAAAGGTGTTCGCACGAGGCGATTTTGCGTTCAACTTTTGCATTCAACTCACGCAGGGTTGCACGAAAAAAAAGTTGAATGGCTAAATGTTGGCTGGCGACCAACTTTGTTGAAAGCGAGTTGAAAGGCCGTTCAACCAAAAGTAGAATGCATAGTTGAACAATGCAAACGCCTTTTTATGGCGAATATTTTTTAAATTTTTTTTTATATTTTGATATTTTTAGCCATTCGATTATTTTTCCTGCAGCCCTGCGTGAGTTGAACGCAAAAGTTGCCTGAAAAATCTCACGAGCGAAAGCCCTATTATAGTACACAACATGATAAAAACATAAACATGATGGTAAACCATGCAGACAGACCTTCATATTTGTATAGAAAAGTACAAACCCAACAAACATTTGCAGTCACAAATAAGTAAATTTTATTTTTTAAACTGATTCGCGTTATATCTTTACAGAAGATCATGCGAAGCCATGTACACGACTTATGTATAAGTAAAATAATAAATTTTGTTTTATTTTATTTTATATTATTACCGTTGGTAAGTACATACATACATCATATCGCACGCCTAGATCTAAAATGAGCTAACTCAAAATACAGAGAGGGAAATATAACTGCTTGTGGATCGTACAGATTAAACGCCATTAATACAAAGTCTGGGCTCGAATCGTAACATCCGTTCACGGATCGAAAACGAAAGAAAATTACGTGATACGTCAGGCTGTATAAGCTGAATGAGACAAAGAGTAAGTTTACGTATGTCATAATCCGAAAAATTTGTTTTTACGTGACTAGTACGATATCATGTGTGGCGATTCGAGCCCAGGTATAACAGTAGGTTTTTAGTAAATGTAAATAATCATGAAGAACAAATATTTGCATTAATTGGATGTACGGCTTATGAATCGATTTATGCAAAAAAATCGCCATAATTTTTTTTTTAGTTGATCGCACTTTAGAACTAGGTTTGCGATATATCGTCACCTAAAATGCAAAAAGACGTAACAAACATCGTCGCCGAAATGCAAAAAGTCGTAACTTATGTACAAAAAATTCAAAATTCACTTTTAGATTGATATGAGGGATTTCATCGAATTACAACTCCCCACATCATTTTATGAAAAAAAATTATTAGTCACGACTTTTTCCATTTCAGTGACGATGTTTGTTGTATGTATAATAAAGATACATATGTATGTATATACATATCGTCGTTCAAAGTGCAAAACCGCGTATGTGAAGATGTAGAAATTATTTTCTAGAGCGTAAAAGCACTCATACTTCAAAATGGTTCTCTTTTTTATAAGGCAATCGCATTTCTGGCTAGTATATTTCAGGACGAATGGATAAGGATTGAGCCAGCAGCTTGTGTGAGCAAATCCAGTTTTTGGCAGCCAATGTCAGTTACGCGGTTTTGCAGAATGACGATACGCGGTTTTGTACTTTAAACGACGATATATGTATGTATGACAGAAACTTTCGGAAACTTTCCTACTCCCAAATAAATTAAATCAATCATTTTTATTTGGAGCTATAACCGCCTACGTGATTTGGCCCAGAAAACATTCGATGAACTAATAATACCAAAGACTTTTTGAGTCATAGTTTTAGAGTTATTCTTTCATTGAAGGGTTTTAAGTGTTCTATAATTGAGCACAAATCTTACGTTCACGAAAACTACACGAAATTGGAAAAATTATAACATAAATATACGAATGTAATCTTATATATTAGCATTTGTTAAATGTTACTCTACAAGCGTTGGAGAAGCTCAATTTTTGTTTTCGGGAGTTATTTTCCACATTAAGAACACCTCTAATTATTCTTTTTCTTTGGTTTCTTGGGGTTACGTGAGCGTGATTTTGCCTTGCATAATGGGCAAATAGGAGCGTTACGATGAATTTGTTGATGGCACGAGAGACATGATTTCATTGGTGGCGGTTGTTGACGGAGATTCACATTAAAATCCGATCGGAATGATGGATGGTGTCCTATACCAATTGATGGCGCTTGCTGTAAGCGCGATGTGGGTGGGGGAGGCAATGGTGGTGCGGAGAAGTCACTTTTTCCTAAACGCACTGCCGCTCCAGCAGCAGCAGCCGATCCAGAGCCAGGTGGAGCGGGTGGCATAAAAGCATGGCCACCAGTTGGACCACTAACACCACCGGTAGGCGCTAATGCAGTTACCGTAGTTTCCGGTATAAGTGGATGACGAGGATGAGGACGTGCCAGGGATGTAGGTTGTGCAGCGGCTACGGCAGCAGCTGCTGCGGCGCTCACTTTCAAAAAATTAGTTTGAAAGCGGTCCTTTGAAATTGGGCTACCTTCCTCTTCATGTAATTCACGTAATGGACTAAGACCCAAATAGTCGCGACGCATATGGTCGATTTGATACTTAAGAGCAAGATATTCTTCATATACGCGATTGGCCATGTCAACGGAACGCGTTTGATTTTCCTTGGTTTGTTTAATTATATTTTCCATGTCATTTATATCAGCATGAATTTGTCGCAGTTCTTCGACGTGAGACATTTTCTCCTCGAGCAAATGTTCCATTTCTTTGCGATACTCATCGAGGCATTTTTCCTCATCGTCGCTTATTTTTACTTCTTTAACAATTTTCAATTTTAATTTTTCCAATGCTAAGGTTTTATCTCGTATATCTTTGATAGCTTCAAGTTTTGCATAATAGTGGCGTTCGTTGGAACTACTGATGTCGCTGGTGGCCATTTTTGTAAGTAAACCCCTCCTGCTTGTTTGCGTTGGTCGCTAGAAAAGATCCTCTTGCTGAAATTTCTTTGAATTTATTGTTAGTAGAACTAGTAACTCAAAATCTAGAATGAAATATGACTAACTTCGGATATTTATGGTCCTTTTTCAGTTACAAAAATCCGTATATATTTTATTCAGCAATTTATTAAAATTTGCCAAAAAAATTTCTGTCCAGCGTTGTGTACAAAATTGTTCTGCTTCTTAAAAGAAATTCATTCACAATTGAGTTAATTTATTGTGATTATTGGATGTTGTAAAGTGTTAATCACAGCCCACGGTCTTCCACTCGAAATCGCTTTTTTTTATTTGCTTATCAGACCGCAAGCATATAGTAGTTTTCATCTAATCTAAATTTCAATTAATGTACTTGGTTGTCGACACGGTTAAAAAAGTTACCAAAAACGTGCCACCGAAATTTTTTAATGTCTGAGTTCAGACACGGAAACTTTTGTCGCGCAACTCGTTACTTGTAGGAGAGGGAGTGACGAGGAAAGGGGAAGGGCACCGAGTAATTCAAGTTGGCGATCGCAGCTGACAACAACAATTGTTTACAAAATAGTTTCTCTGTGTGAATGCAACGGGCAACACCAAAAGGGAAGTTGCCGAAAATGAGCAACAAAAGTTTCCGTGTCTGAACTCAGTCACTATATGAATAATTTAACAAGACCTTTTATCTGGCCACCTTGCTTACCCGTTGTCATGGCAATCACTCTTCAGTATTAGATAAAAAAGTCACGAACATTTTTTGGCAAATTTATTATCAAAATAAATTATATTCTGTAATCTAATGCGCAACAATGGAATATACGCTAAATAATGAAATCGACTTTGAAGAAATGCGATGTTGTCGTGCATGTCTGTCGGTCGCGTCACAAGATGAACTTGCAGACTATATTGATTTGTTGCAGTTATACAGCTCCGAAAGCGATACTCTTACATTACTGGAGTTGTTCAATAAAAGCACACAGCTTTATATTGGGGTAGAAGATTTCCATATCGTAGGCTATCCTCCTTGCCATTATATTTGTGGTCGTTGTCGCCTTGATCTTGTCCAAGCCTATGAGTTTATAACGCGAGCACAGTTGAATCACCAATTATTAACACACTCGAAGCAAGAGATTATTAAAGGAAATGAATATGCAGAAGACCATGATGCCGATGAATTGGAAAAGGCGGAAGTAGAGGAGGAGTTTATAGAAAAGGTATATATACATACATATATAAAGGTATGTATGTATGCACATATGTGTGTAATTTGTGAAAATGTTTTTTATTAAGAATCCGTTTGCACAAACAAATTTGAAAATTAAAAATAAGTCAATTCTCTTTGCCATTTTAAACTTTGTTTAAAACGTCGTAGGATCAAACAATAATGAATGAAGTACATATGTAGCTACATTTTCTGAAAATTTGTTTTTAGGATTTTGAACCTGTCGAATATGAACGAAACTCAAACAGCACTGGAAGTGTGTTGAATGACGATAATAATGGTTCATACGAACCTTTACCAACTACACTCATTAGTGTAGAGCGTGTTTTCTCTAACGAACCAATTATTTCAAAAAGTAACATCAATGCCTCAGAAGAGTCACCGGACGAGGAAGAAGCTAAATCAAGTTCGTGTCTTAAATTATCTCAACGTGGAGCAGAGGAAAGGAATACTGGCGATGAGTCTAAGTCCTGTTTTGACTTCAAATGCGAGTTTTGTACATCGGTATTCCAATTCCAAAGAGATTTGCTTCAGCATTATGAAGTTGAACATGGTACATAGATACATAGAATTCACATACGATGTACATGATGATATTCGTTGATATACCTACATATACATATTTTTTCGACTACACTTTCAGGGGATAAAACACATAATTTCCCATGTGATTATTGTCCAAATCGGTTTGTGACGAAAAATGTACTACGTTTGCATCGACGACAGGTTCATCAGAAAGATGAATATATGGACTGCGAACATTGTGGACGCACTGTATTGAAGACATTCTACAACAAACATTTAAAGCGCCATAAACAGATGAAGTTCTTATGCAACAAGTGTCGTAAGTTAACTTGAATATTTGCCAACATATTTTATTTAACTTATATATTTCTCACAGCTAAAATATGTGCTTCCCGTTTCACACTTAAAAGGCATTTAGAACTCCACTCAGATGAACGTGATCGAAATATTGAATGTATCGACTGTGGAAAAAGATTTTTTACACTCGAAAATCTCCAATTGCATCAAACTACTCACATCTTACCAGAAGATCGAGCAATATTCGAATGCACAATTTGTTCAAAAACGTTCCTGCGTAAATCAAATCTTGGTTTACACATGCAAATGCATCGTGGCAAGACTATCGATTGCCCACATTGTGGCAAAAAGTTTGTACGACGCAAAGATCTCGAAGTACATATACGTTTTCATACTGGCGATTTTCCATATGCATGCTCGATGTGTGACCGGAAATTTGCTATAAAGGGCCATCTTAACTACCACGAGAAACGACATCTAGGTGTACGCTACAAATGTGATGAATGTGAAAAAACATTTATAAATCTCGCTGGCTTAAGGCAACATCAATACGAGCACACGGGAATGCCATTGTTGTGTGGAGTGTGTCAGCGTGGATTTCCTACCAAATTTAAGTAAGTATGTACAATCATTGTAGGATGCGTGTAAGGATGTACCTTAGTAAATGCAGAGCCAACAGTGATTTGCCACTGGTTCAAATAAATTATTTTCTATTAGGGTTCGCCGTCATTTGCGCACCGTGCATCAGGATCTTTTTAAGAAAATAGGTTACTCAGATGCGTTAGCAAAGAAGTACATATTTCCAGGATCAAAGTCGACCGTTGGAGAAAAAAAAGAAACTGAGTTTGCAGACAGTACTGAAGGCACTGTCGAGATGCTGGAGGAGCATGCTGGCGACATTCCACTAAACATGCTAGATGTTTAAATTTTGCTTTAGTAAAAGTAATATACGAGTTAAATATGTATGCGTTTTTAAGACAGCCAAATTTTAAATAAGCAGTATTTATTTAAAACCTATACACGATCGATATAATTTACAAATAAAGTGGTATACATAAAGTTACTTAAAATATATAATCTATTTATATTGGCAGTGTCTACACACACGCGCCACGGCAAGTTTAAAAATTACCGTATATCTACGGTAAAATTACGTGGATTATGTGTTGCCGGAGAAGTGGGGCAGAACTTCTTTATGCGTAGGCGGCCTTCGGCCGCGCTTAGGGATTATAACCCTTACTACTCAGAATTCTCCTTTCTGTGTGTGGGACAGAACTTCTTTCGGCATAATTTTTACCGTGGCACGTGTAAGTAGACACTCCCATTTATACTATTCTGCTTCCATTATTCAGCAACCCTCTAGTTCCGGTGGAATCGGAATGTCATTATGGGCTGCAAACTGCAGCAAAGCCTTGTATTTATTCTTCCAGTTAGCTATATCCTTGCGACATTGTTCGTTATCTTCGTGCATAGTTTCCAGCTCAACCCATTCATGCGATTTTTCTGTTTCCAAAACATCCTTCTGTTCTATACGTTTTATGCGACAACTAGCTGCATAGCCACGATTTTTCAGCGTTCGTCGACGCTGCTTCATACGCACAACCTCCTCGCGATTTAGGCCGCGAGACTTTAGAGTACGATTAAGGTCTCTGACGGATATAGAAACTAGCTCATCATCACTTATGTCTGGTATAGGGCATGGCGATAGTGGTGCCTGTAGGTTGAAAAATTTAATAGCAGTTAATTTTCATTATCATATACATATGTACATATGTACATATTGGTATAATGATGCTTAATTGGGCTTAGTAATAATTTTGCATTTACGTAAAATTGTTGTGTTACCATTGACGATTTTCTTTCTCGTCGGTGCTGTAGTCCGTCCATTTTCCGCACAATCAATTGTTTTGACGTTAAAAGAGAGCCACTTTATTAGTTTAGACTAGAATTTAATAAGTTTTTATAATATCAAAGATTTTATTGAAATTCAATTACCTGCTAAGAATCACAAATACTGAAGAAATACAGAAATTTACCAAAAGAGCGATGGATTTCTTCACCGTAAACAATCTTTTCACAAACTTTTCACAAGAGATGTCGAAAAAACATCGATGCATAGAAAATATCAATGTTCTGCTTCGATGCATCGAAAATTTTCCACTCGATGTATAAATAGTCGATGCTTCGATGTTTTCTGTAAACTGACATCTCTAGTACATCGAACCGCTAAACATCGCTTTGTCTGAAATTCGAAGAAATTGATGTTAAAAAGTTCAAAATATTGATGAAAATTTGTTGAATTTTTCTAAATTTCGTATAAAGTTAGACACATTGTTTTGCATAGTTTTAGCTAAAGTATGAACAACATTTTTATAAAAAATAATAAAAAGTGTTAACTAGAAAACGCCACGAATATTTAAGTAAAAATATCAATGTACGCCCTCCAATGCATCGACGAATGTCGATGTAAGTTTCGATGGGAAAACATCGATGTATTTTTGCCAATGACTTCCCTACTTTTCACTAGAACTGGAAAAATATCAACGACACTACCGATTTATCGATGGTTTGAGTTAAAAAAATAATATCGATGCTTTAAAACTATCGATACTATCGGCTGCAATGTAAGATCAACTAGTAAATTGTCTCCAAGTGAACAAATTTTCCCAAAAAGTATAAAGTAAAACAACAAAAACAATTTTCCCAAATCCGCTTTTGTGAACAATTTATTCAAATGGAATTGGTGATAGGACTGAATAAATAAATCGATGGGAATCGGTAATTCTTACATACATTGAAAATTTAGGTCTGTACTTAAGCGCATTTTCTACTACAAAAAATTGTAAACTTGCTCAGTTTAAAATAATTTTCCGAAAACAAGGAAAATAAATCTATAGTGTTTTGTTCTCTTTATAAAAAGAAAACTCAAATCCACTGGCAATGCAAGCAATTGATGAAACCATTTGCAACGCTGCTCATATTACCAAAAAACCTAAATTACAAGAAGGGACAACTCGTTATAATTGTAGCGAAAGTGCGCAAGTCTTGAATTCAATTCTAATCCCATATGGAAGAGAGCGAGTGAGAAGAAAAGGGACGAGTACACATGCGTCTGTACCGTCAAGTCGTTTCAACTTTCTTACTTTGTTTTTTACATTTTTGTTGTTTCCCATTTAGACTGGGTTCACACAGAGAAACTTTTGTGGCTCATTTTCGGCAACTTCTCTTTTACCATGTTCTGACGGACACAGAAAACATGTTTTTGTTGCTAAAACTGGTTTTCGACCTAAAACTTGTGTTTTCGTCAATGTAAAATCTGTTTTCGCTGAAAACTACTTGAAAACTCACATTAGTCACTAGTTTTTTTTCGATTATTTATCGAAGTAGAAGTCATATTTTTTCATCTTTAATACGCCATTTCGGATTTATTGTTAATTGGCTGACGAAAATAAAATAAGCATGGAAGTAAAAGGTTGTTAATGAAAAGAAAATGAAGGAAAAGTGTTTTGGTTTTGATTTTGGGTAGCAAAACTGTAATCAAAAGATGTAAGACATGTCAACGAAAACCATAACAACCGGTGTGAACAGCCCACAATCCCAAAACTCGTTTTCAAAGTGTGAGCAAGAGTGGAAGAAGGAGAAATTTTGCAAGAGAAACGTAGACAAGTTGCACAAGTGTGACGTCATACAAACAGCGATTCGGTCAAATTCACTGAGAGCAAGAGAATAGCGGTACCGAGATGGGCGCCACCTTTCTTCTCTATATCATGGGTGAAAACATGGTATTTTGGTGTTGCCCTTCGCGTTCACACAGAGCAATTCTTTTGTACACAATTGCTGTTGTCAGCTGTGAACGGCCAATTAGAATTACTCAGACGAACGAGAGCACAAAGCGTGTTGCCCGAGCACGAGCAACTCGGTACCCTTCCCCCTTCTTCGTAACTCCCTCTCCCACCAATAACGAGTTTCCGCGACAAAAGTTTCTCTGTCTGAACCTAGACTTAAAGAACCAAAAACTTCAATTCAACTGAATTGGACCGTGTAAATGCAAATAGAAAACACAAAAGATAATGAGCAAGAATTGCTTTCAAGTACTTGAATCATCTAAATTGGGGGTCACCAAATGCGAATTCTTATTCTTTCGCCTTGGCAGCAGGGTTGCAGGGTCAAGACCAGTGTGAGGACTATACGACCGTAAACTTAAAATTCACCACATTACAGTTTTTCTAATTTTTAAATGGGACAAATTTTTCAATACGGAACCAAGCTTTCGAAAAAATAAAAAGGAGGGGTGTAGAACGGGTCCCCCTGATTATAAATCCGAAAACACTCGTGGCCCCCTCCGGAGGCTTATGGTTTTTAAGTAATTTGCATTTATAGTTGCAAAAAATGTCGAATTCAGCCTCACTTTTTGCTTTGTATGCCAATTGAACTGAAATGTCGGTGCCGCCACACAACAAAAAATTCACGTGAAACAACAAAACCGCACATAATACGGTTTTTCAATTACATATCGATGTATTGATTAAAAATAAGCGCCGCAGTCTAAGATCGCGCAATTATTTATTAAAAGTTTTAATAATTTATCGAAGTATAGAATTTTATGAAAAAAGCGACGCAGGCGAAAATTTGAAATAAAAAATCTCGTGACTTTTTGTTAAAAATTTTTATTATCGAATTTCGATTTTTATGAAAAAAAGCGCCGCATGCGAAAATTTGTAGTAAAAAATCGAGTGATTTTCTTTATTTGTCCAACTATCGATGTTTATAAAAAAAGCGCCGCAGGCGAAAATTTGTAATAAAACACCGCGCGATTTGTTATTAAAAATTTTCATTATTTATGGAAGCATCGATTTTTATAAAAAAATCACTTTAAAAATAGACGAGTTTTATTATATGCATTCAACATACATACAAGTAGTAAACGTATAGACCGTGATTATGTGGCCTTATTTGTGGTGTATTTTCTTTTAAAACGTATGGTAGCATATATTTGTTCTTACTGTACCTGACCATCTTTTTATTTGTGAATTGTGAAAAAATTTGAAAACACATTTATAAACGCGTTTTACTTAAGTATTACAAACGCATGCGAAAATTTTAAGCATAGCATATTAGTATAAATATAAGTGAAAAGTGGCGTTTTAAATTAAAATTTGGTGATATTAGTCGGGATACTTTAACAACAAATTACTTAAATACTAGCGGCAACATTGTGAAAGTGATTAATGCAGTTAAATAAGACCTCCATTAACATCCCCACCAAGTTTTATATAAAAATTCCGTATACTAAATTATATAGCTGTTGGTTCCCTAATGTAAATCTCAGCTTTTAAATGGCTATGATCTTACCGTCCCTAATTTTATTTTATTTGTTGTAAATTTTCAGGATAAGAATGAAATTTAACGGCGTACCAAAAACCTCAAATTGACTACCAAATTTTTTTGCTGATCTGGGGGCCAATTCCAGTTCTGTGAAAACGTAAAGTGAAAACATTTTTCATCACTTCACATAAAATTACGATTCTGTTTTCAAAAGTCACAATAATCTATAAAACAATTACTTGCTAGATGTTGATGGAATCGTATTTAATGATCGAGAATCGAAAGTAATACTTTAAGAAAACATCTACCATCATTGATTGAAATTCTTCAATTTCAACGAAAAATGACACACGTCAACAATCTTTACGATTGTCAAAACTTTCAATACATTGGGCCTGTGCCAATTGATAGAAGAGGAACTTTTGACGGATCAAAGTAAAAATTTGACATTTCTCGTGGTGAATACGAACGTCAGAATTTTACCTAGCTCAAGGGGCTAGCAGTACGAATGCCGTCAGCGCGACAGATAATTTTTATTGTTTTTCTGTTTTTGGTTTTTCTTAATTACGAAAAAGCCTCTGAGAAGTGTACAACGGTTATGGGCACTGCCTTGCCCGCGGGCAAAGCTCTTTTAAGCTTTCTTAACATTTTGTGTAGGCGCGTGCAGAGTAAAAGCTCTCTCTGCCCATCGCTGGTGTAGAACCAAATCAAACGACGAAGCAAATTGATTCAAGTTGACCATTTGAAAACACATTTATAAAGCGGCTGTAGCTGAGTGTGTAGAGATGCTTGCTGTTATTTACTAATGCCGTCAGAGGCAAGAAGTTAAACTGATAATAAAAATTTTTGTTTTGTATCTTCGAATTATGAAAAAGCATCTGTGAAGTACAGAACATAAACTTATTCAAACGAAAAATCGCCAACCAAGAGTTTGGTTTATGTAAACAGAATTTTAGTTATTATTATCAAATCATTGTTGAAAATCACGTTGATTCCTTTTCAAGTTTGAATTTGGTAATATTAACCAATTTTTGGTTGATTTTTGCTAAGTGTTTGGCCGAGCTTCCCTTCCCTTATAGTGAGCGACTTGATGTTCTTACACAAGTGGAGAAGCCTACAATTTAACGTCGTCACCGACGACCACCACTTAGCTGAGCAATTATGTATAATTAAAAATAAATAAATATTACGATTTTATTTGTTATATTTTTTATTACTAATTATTATTCTTATAACACTTAAGGCTAATATCACACACTGTAATTAGTTAACAAAATTGACTCTAAACATCACTATTTATATTAATATTCCAGTTATTATGCCACAAAATCACATTGGCACCGGCGATCGCAAATACTTCATATGCATCATGGTGAAAATTATTTCGTAAATATTCAATAACTGCCACTGATAGGTTGTAGGTGCTGTGGTGTACAAAACTGTGCTGGAGAACTTTCCATTGTCTATTGATATATCTATTGGTTTTCGTGTGTTTTGTTAAGTTGGCGTATCGACTTTTTTATAGTAAGTGTTGTTCTCACCGGCAGCGCTTGTGATTTGAGACTAATATATTTAAATATCAAATTCACCGATTTTATTCAAAATATTAACACTCCCATATTTCTACCATTTGTCTTTCCGAGAAAAAGCTATTCTACTGCTGTATTTACAATTGTTAACTTGTTGCTTTCCGTTATTTTAGTTTACATCGCTCTTCGCGTCGTTTACCCACTGTTATGAAATTGAATGGAATTCCATGATATATAGCCCATATGAATGCTATAT